TGCAGCACTAACTAGCCCATTTCCCCACTGCAGCACTAACATGGACTGGTCCATTTCCACACTGCAGCACTGAACCATGGACCTGGCCCATTTCCCCTCTGCAGCACTAACATGGACTGGCCATTTCCCCACTGCAGCACTAACATGGACCTGGCCCCATTTCCCACACTGCAGCACTAAACATGGACCTGGCCCATTTCCCCCACGCAGCACTAACATGGACCAGGCCCATTTCCCCCACTGCAGCACTAACATGGACCTGGCCATTTCCCCCACTGCAGCACTAACATGGACCTGGCCCATTTCCCCACTGCAGCACTAACATGGACCTGGCCCATTTCCCCCACTGCAGCACTAACATGGACCCTGGCCCATTTCCCCCACTGCAGCACTAACATGGACCTGGCCCATTTCCCCCACTGCAGCACTAACATGGACCTGGCCCATTTCCCACACTGCAGCACTAAAATTATTTGCTGATCTCTCAGGAGGATGTCTAACAGGCTGGACTTCCCCTGTGAGTGTACCTGAGCTGAGACATGAAGTAGGCTTGAAACATGACACACACATACGCAAACATACGCACACACACACACACACACACACACACACACACACACATACATACACACACACAGAGACACACACACGCACAGATACACACACAGATACACACACACACACACACAGATACACACACACACACACACACACACACACACACACAACACATACATACACACGCACACACACACACACAGACACATCTATTTCAGTATGCATTCTTTTTTTTTGCATATGCTGTAGTGTAGCGTTCCACCTGGGGGTATCGGATAGAATATTAAATCTAACTATTAACTAAATATCAAATCAAGTGGAACCATGCAAACATGCTTTCCCTCAGGGGATGACAATAACTTCATCTGTGTGGTAAGTAGTTGTAGTCTCCTGTGGTCTCTTGCTAGATAGCTGGACTCTCTTAATTATGGATTTACTGAGAGAGAAGAGAGAAGCGAGGGAGGAGGAGAGGAGTGAGGGACGAGGGAGGAGAGAGGAGAGGAGAGGAGGGAGGGAGGAGAGAGGAGAGGAGAGGAGGGAGGGAGGATAGGAGAGGAGAGAGGGAGGAGAGGAGAGGAGAGATGGAGGAGAAAGAGAGGAGGGAGGAGAGAGGAGACTAGAGGAGCGATGGTGGAGAAAGGAGAGGAGGGAGGAGAGAGGAGAGAGGCGAGGGAGGAGAGAGGAGAGGAGGGAGGGAGGAGAGAGGAGAGGA